GTAAGTGAAGGGGAGGAGTAAGAAGAAGGGTGGTATGAAAAATGGGGGTAAGAAGAACAAGGGGAGAGTGAGAAGAGCACAAGGAGGAGGGGGAGAGTAAGGGTGAGGAGAAGGGGAGATGAGGAGAAGGGGGGGACTGAGAAGAACACAGGGAGGGTGGGTGGTGAGGAGAACACAGGGAGGAGAGCAGATAAGAAGAACACAGGGAGGTGGGAGGTGAGGAGAACACAGGGAGGGGGGGAGGTGAGGAGAACACAGAGAGGGGGGATGAGAAGAGCACAGGGAGTGTGGGGCAGAGGAGAGACCACTAAGGGGCAGGCGAGAGCTAGAAGGGACAGCTCTATAGGGCAGGGGGCAAGACAGGGAGCTCTTTCACACTACACGCACACACACAATGCATCCCTATACATACACAGAAACACACAATGCATCCCTACACACACAGAAACACAACATGCTTCCCAGGGCCGCCATCAGGGGGTGACAACCATGACGGTTGTCACGGACCCGGCGGCCCTGGGGGGCCCGGACTGCTCTGGCAGTCCTGGGCCCCACTTTCCCTTTCTGCACACATAGATATCGAATATCGCTATCTATGTGTGCAGCGCGGCCCCCGGCTTTCGCAGAGGGGAGGAAGGACACAGCTTTCTGTCTTCTTCATAACTCTCGCGAGACCCGTTACCATGGCACCCTCGCTCTCGCGAGAGTTATTAGAAAGAAGAAGGAAAGCTGTGCTGCCGAACCCCTGGACCACCAGGGATGGAATCTCCCCCCTCCCTGGACACAGGTAAGCAGGGAGGGGGGGAATATAATTTAATTAATTTAATAGAAAATTAATGTTAAAATGCCCCTACCTCCCCCTCCCCCCCCAGATCACACATTTACACACACACACTGCATACACTAACACAACACACACTGCATACACTAACACACAACACACACATTGCATACACTAACACAACACACACACACACTGCATACACTAACACACACACACACACTGTATACACTAACACACACATATTGCATACACTAACACAACACACACACACACTGCATACACTAACACACACACACACTGTATACACTAACACAACACACACACACTGCATACACTAACACAACACACACACATTGCATACACTAACACACAACACACACATTGCATACACTAACACAACACACACACTGCATATACTAACACAACGCACTGCATACACTAACACACACACTGCATACACTAACACACAACACACACTGCATACACTAACACAACACACACACTGCATACACTAACACAACACACACACACACTGCATCCACTAACAAAATACACACACTGCATACACTAACAACACACACTGCATACATTAACACAACACACACACACACTGCATACACTAACACAACACACACTGCATACCCTAACACAACACACACACACACTGCATACACTAACACAACACACACTCTGCATACACTAACACAACACACACTCTGCATCCGCTACACTAACACACACTCTGCATCCGCTACACACTAACATACTCTCTGCATGCACTACACATTAACACTGCATTCACTACACTAACACACACTCTGCATCCGCGACACACTAACACACTCTCTGCATTCACTACACATTAGCACACACTCTGCATTCACTACAAATTTACACACACTCTGAATTCACTGCACTAACACACACACTACATTCATTACACTGACACACTCTGCATTCACTACACACTAACACACATTCTGCATTCATTACACACTAACACACACTCTGCATTCACTAAACTATGCACACACTCTGGATTCATTATACTGACACACACTCTGCATTCACTACACTAACATACACTCTGCATTAACTGTACACACAGCA